GCCGGGCGCCGCGCCCCGGGCTGCTGCGCGGGAGCGCTGAGAGCCGGTGCGCCGGGCGCGGCCACGTCTTTCCCAAGGCTGTCGGCCCTCTCGGTCGTCCTCCGCCGCTCGCGCCCCTTCCCCCGCGCAACTTCCCGCGCTGCTCAACAACCCAGTCTCGCCCGCGCCGCCCGCGGGGTTCTAGACAGGTGGCCTGGCCGGCGAGTGCGATGGGCGCAGACTTAGCCCCGTTGTGCACCCCAGTGTCTCACAAATTGCACCTTCCTTTCATACTGTACTGAGAAGGCTTGAAGTGAGACTTTTGCTTTAAGGTAGCTGCTTCAAGACTTCCGTTTTCCAGAGTAGGGCTCTTTCCCCCCTCTCATTTTATTACTCCAAAAAAAAAAAAAAAAAAAAAAAAAAATTCTGGCTCCTGGTGACATCGCTATTTTTATTCCTTGGTCCAAAGGAGCCATGAAGTGGAAAAAGTAATTTTAAAAATTCTTCATTTAAATAAACAAAAAAGGAATGACCCATAGCTGACAATTTTAGAAATATGGGCACTCCAGCAAAAGAGCTAAGGAGCCAAGACTCCTGACCCATCTTCCAATTCATAACCAAAATTGCACACACTAAATGTAAGCACTTTTAGTGCTCAAAGGTCTGCGCAGAGGTGCTTTAACTGCAGTTTTTCCTTCACTGAAAACTGCTGACAAATATTTGGGGGCTTTTTTGCCTTGACCTGAGAAATGCAGGCTGTCTGGTTATGAGAGAATGGTAAACTCATTCTAAGGGGTCAACTTCTTATTCTGGTACCACCCCAGTTCTAGGATTTTCCAGTCATTTTTTACTTGAGCCGGAGAGAGGCTGTTTGTCTTTGTGCTGCCAGTGTGTGAAGTCCCAGAATCAGGCAGAAGCCCAGAATAAAGAGGTGGTAAGGACTTCCAGAGGGTGTATTGAGCTTTAATGAAGATTTTATTTCCACCTGCTGTGTACTTGTGAGCAGGTTATCTTTCTTACCTTATTATTCGTCTGTAAGATAAGCTCAGTTATTCATATTAAATGTATGTGTGTATATATATATATATATATATATATTTTGGTACCACGAATCAAGCTCAGGACCTTGCACTTGCCAGGCAGGCACTTATGCCACTGAGCTATATCCCCGGCCTGAAATGTATGTTAATGTTGAAGTCAGAAAGCAGTCGTGGCCAACCTATGGCACGTGTGCCACAGCTGGCTGTTTCTTATCACTGAAAGCTCTAAAAGGTTTGCCATCCCTGGCCAGCATCGACTACATGAGGGAGCTTCCTATGAGAATGTTTTTCTGCATGAAGTTTGATGGCTGTTACATGCAGTGGTGGGGGACGCAACTTGTTTGGGGCATTGATTGGGAGAATCAAACTGAAGTCGCTGATGGATGTACCACTTGCCATAGTAGTTTCTTTATACTTTATGAGTGAATTGTAGAATAGGAAGCATGACCAGGGCAAAAAGATACTACAGATCATGAGTTTGGATGGGGTTGACCTGTGTTGAGTGGCCCAGACCTGGACTAATTGTCTAGGCAGTCCTGCATGTCTGGTTGGTATAGCCCAAGGGGTAAGAATAAAGGTCCTGTCTCAACACTTAGGAGGCTGAGGAGGGAGGATCACTGTGAGTTAAGTCAAGCCTGGGCTTCGTAGTGAGTTCAAGGCCAGCCTGAACTACGTGATGAGACTTCGTCTCAATAAACAAAACAAAACAACAAATAAAGGCCCTGGTTGGAATCAGATCTGCTTGTAAGTTAGCTCTTTGTTGCAAATTGTGTGACACTGGGCATATTACTTAACCTCTCTGAACTTTTCTTTATATGTCAAATGGCAGGACCTCCTCTAATGACTGTTGGGAGGATTAAATGAAATAATAGGTACAGAGTGTTTGTAGGGCCTAACTCAGAATACATGTTAGTTAAGTGTTTCATCATTGTCAGTATTACCATTAGCTTCATTGTCATCTTATTTCTAGCAGCAGCCTAAGAAGGAAAAAATTGGAGTACTTTTCAAGCAGAGACTGTTGGAGCTGGAAGTGGAGCTTCCACAGACCAACTGGAGTTATCTTAGGGCTGATGTGCTCTCCTATATGCTCTCTGTCCCTGAGTTGAGAACACCAGACAGGGTCAACAGAACAGAATTTGTGGTGAAATCTGACCAAGTAGAATATAGAATATTCCCTAATCCCCAGGGAAGAATATAGCTTTCAAATTTCTATTCTTATGATTCTGTTTCTGCTTTTGAAGCATTTTGTAAGTTGGATTGCAAGAGTTGTGCTGAAAATCTTGGCAGACATTATTGTTCAAAGGAATAGATGGATAGGAATACATGTAAGTTTAATGTAATATTAAAGTTCACCACTTACTGGTCACCTCCGTGTTCCTGAAGCTGTGTCATATACCTAGTAGATTATATCTTTAAATTCTCACAGAAACCCTATGAGACTTATATAGTCTTACACAAAAGAGGAAACGAAGCTTGGAAAGGTAGTTGCACAAGGCCATGTAATTTGTTCCAAACCATACAACCAGGAGTGGCAGAGCTAGGGTTTTAAACTGCCCCAAGGACAGCGCTTTTAATTGGACCTATGCTATTCTGATCCACATATCTTAAGAATTTACTTTAAAATCAAATAGAGAATTAATTTTCTAAAACCCATTATGCCAATAGCAGCACCGATCAGTGAGTGCTTAGTATATAAACAGTCTAACAATGTGATATTTTGCAGTGTTGAAGGTGGAGAAGAAAATGTGCTCCCTTGCATACCTACCTATTGTTTTTTTAAATAGATCAAATTGCAAAAGTAAGACAGTGTTGAAATATGGCCATTAGTACATGCAATGTGTCCTTATTTTCTTTACCTTTTTACTTAGAATGATATAAACTATCCCTTACAAATATTTATAGAGTAAAACTAGTGTACTTTCTATTAATGAAATATTGAAATCTGATATATTGAAATTTTTATTTGCAAAGAAATCAGCTCTGTCCACACCAGCTTTAACAATGGGTGAACAGACTATGTCATACACTGAAGAATGACCCCCACTGTTTCTACATTCTGTGGCTTCCTGCAAGCACCATTGCCCAGGACAGGGGCAGACCCACTGCCAGGAGGGAACCTGAGAATACCTGCCAGAGACCATCCCACCATGATTGCCCTGGCTTGCTCATGCTTTTTGGTTTTTCTTCAGTAATAGGGAATGAATCCAGACCTTTGCACTGAGCTATACCCCCAGCACTTTTTTATTTTGCAGTGGCATCTTGCTAAGTCAGTTGAATTTGCAATACTGCTTCATCATCCCAGAGTGCTGGTATTACAGGCATACAGCACCATGCCTGGGTCCCTATACTCTATAAAACCTAAATTCCTTGTGTTGGAAATCATTATACTGGACTTGGTTTGAGCACTAAGGTACAGGTAATTGTGCAACTTACTACACTTACGCATTTTTCTGCAACACAGCTCAGGAAGAAGTAAGAGAAAGATCGATCACTGAACTTTTCTAAGTTGGAAGACTGAAATTTAATTTCTCTTAAGCATTATATACTTAACTTTATTGCAAGCTAATTGTCATTGATTTAAGTACAAAGGAAAGACTAGATCTGAATTAGGCCGTTCATGTTTGCTTTGGGATTTCTGACAATGATTCATTAAATGCAATAATATAGTCCTAAGAATCATCCCGTCTTCTTAATTACCTTTTTTTCTTTTTGAAATTTAGTGCTGTCCTAGATTATAAAATTATCATTAAGTCTATGAAAATTCTTTAAACAGAATCTTGGTTTCTTTCAAACATAGAATAGATATAGAACTCGATCAAAGATTAAAGTAATATAAAAACTTCAGATAAAGAAAGCAAAAGTATAGAATCTAGTAAAAACAATCATCCAGACATTCAAAATTGGAAAAAGTAGAAAATAATCGCTTATACTTCTATAATGCTTATGGAGTGTCAGATACATGGCTGAGCTAAGTCTTTATGAGTCATAACTCATCATCTCTATTAAATAGGAACAATTACTGTCTTCATTTTACAGATGGAGAAGCTGGATACAGAGAAGTTATGTAAATTGTCCAAAGTTACAAATAGCTAGTTAAGGGTAAAGCTAGCATTCAAATACAGGCAGTTTGGCTCCAGACTCCTACCTGTGCTACTATGCTGTGCTGAGTCTTTGTTTTATTTTTAAGAAAAATAAGTAATATTTATTGGCTACTTCCTGTCTACCAACTATTGTGCTAAGAAATTGATATACCTTCATTTCAGTCTTTTAAAAAACGGAACAAAGTATTAGGCCTAAGAGTCATGACAAAAGTGATTTTGTTGAACATAAAGTGGTAAGAAAAAAGAGTTACATAAAATTTCTCTGAAGAACAACCCTAGCTGGTCATGGTATTGCATGCCTATGATCCCAGCACTTGGGAGGCTGTGGCAAGCTGATCATCAGCCTAGGCTACAAAACTAGACCCTATCTCAAAAAACAAATAAAAATAAATGAAAAGAATGACCCCACACGCTGGTGTGCTATTTCATAGTTGAGTGGTTACAGGTCACAATAATGAATGCTACATATTTCAGAAATCTAAAAGAAAGTATATTAAACATTTTCACCATAAAGAAATCACTAGGTTTGAGGAGATAGATATAAACATTACACAATATACTCTATGAAAACTTCACAAGGTAGTCTCTTAAATATATACAATTTTTATGTTTTTAATGTAGCACTTAATTTGAATTAAAAAGAACAACTGCAATAATTTTGGACGTAAAGACCAAAATAAAATGAGGTATAGAGAGCTAAGAAGTATTTGATAATTTTGTCTGCAAAAATACAAACATTAAAATATATAAATTCCCATATACAAATGTATATCTGAAGTACAAACAGCGCTGTCCTTTAGCAGAGGTGGTGGCAGGTAGATGGAGTTAGTGGTGCTTTCAGAAATTGCTTTGTTTGATGTGTTCTAGACTAAACACTGATAGGGACTCTCAGGCCATCAAACTCAGAACCTGTGGTCTTTCATTTCCTCCCTGATTCTTGGAAAAGTTCTATTTGAACTTCAGGCATCTGGTGTTATTCTGAAGATTCATGAGACACATACCAAAAGTACCTCTCCCAGGGTGAAATTTTCCTCAGTAGTTCTTTGAGCTCTGACAATTCACATGTACTTGTGTAGCTAACACTGACTTCTTCATGGAGCTATGGAAAGAAAATATACTAACATCTTGTCATTTCCTATGGAGAGGGGTAGAGGTCAGGGGACCAGGTCTCATAAAACTCCCTACACAGAGCTAGAGTCGTAATAGGATGATGTTAAAAGCATCTAACTTTTTATTACCAGTGAGAAGGCAGGGACGGGACAATATCTGACATCTTGCTGGAGAAGGCTAAGACACAGTCTTCTCAGTGACAAACAAGTAGGTGCTTATTAAGGTTTTAGGTAATATGATAAAAGGTTAAAGCTATGGAAATGTACTATCTCTGATACTATAAATATTCTTAATTTACTACCTGTCAGCAGCCAGAAAGGCTCTCTGGGCTTTAGGTAAATAGGTAACTTTTGTATGCCTGTGGTTAAGTATGGTTCCTGTTCTTCTGGGGTTTGCATTCTAGTGGCATGGTTTGTTCTATTGACACACAGGGGTGCATAGAACAAAATCAGGTTGACATCTCTGAAAGTGCACGCAAGCACATTTCTATGCTGTGGTTCTTTGTTGCTTTTGTTTGTTTGTTTTTTGTTTTTTTTCTGGTACCGGGAATCAAACTCACGACCTTGCGCTTGCCAGGCAGGCACTGTGCCGCTGAGCTAAATCCCCAGCTCCTGTATGCTGTGGTTCTGTTTGAATGCAAACAGATTGATAAAGTTGGTTTGGGGCACTGGGTAGTCTGTTGTGGCCCCCTGAATTCTGATCAAGTGATTGTAATCGTTTATTTTTTCACACATTATAACTATTGAAGGTTCTTACATTCTACTTGATGTGCTAGGCCCTGGAGATACAAAGACAAAGAAAAGAGATGGTAGCCACAGAGATAAGAGTTTGTCCATCCTTCTGTTCCTCTTATCCATATTCATCACCATGATAGATGTGTAAAGTAAACAAACAAAAGAAACTATTACCAACATTTCTGTTGACAGCTGTTAACATTTGGATGTATATTTTTTTACAAAAATAAGATCATATTTTTCATACTAAATTTAAAAATTTTTTAATTTAAAAAATCATGAACAAACCCCCTTGTCAATGTAAAATATGTCATCATTTACGTAGATATATGATGATTCATTGAGTTAATTCACAATTATTGGATATTAAGACAGGCTGTAGCTTTTCACAGTAATATATAGAGATTGGGAGAGTAATTTTACCCCTTTCTGCACTACAGCAAATACTTTTTTA